AAAAGCACTGCTGTTAAGTGTGTAAAAAAGCTCTGATTTTCACCATGCCGGGAATGCCATTCTTGGATGCTGTGTAAGCTGGAGGGCAAAATCCAATTTAATTTGAGGAAAGAAAATAGATTTTTTTTTCTCCCAGGAAGAATTGCCCTAAAAGGACCGCATTTAAAAAGCATGATTAAAAGAAAAAAGGGGCTGATTAATTGGTAGTTTTCCACTGGAAGTCATTCAGTTAAGGGCCGGCTGTGCAATCTATTCAGAGAATTACAAAACCCATCAGGCAGCTGGGAGTGCCTCATTGGAACTCTTAGAGCGACACCCAGTTCAGATGTTGCTAAGAAGTCCCAAAGAACCACACGATGGGGGAGAACAAGTCCCGATTCTCAACGGGAATAATATTATTAATAAAATCAAATTCATAGCACGGAACCAAGAGTCTTTAAAAGAGATACCCAATGGAAACTAGCCCAGTTTAAAAAAAGAAAAAATTGCAGATGCGTAGAAAACACAGGTTGAAAAGTACCTTAGAGATCATCTAGACCAGACATGTCAAACTCGTGACGTCACATAACGTCGCGCAACGTATCGGAGCTTTTTTGCCATTGCCGGCAATGGAGTGGGCGCAGCTCCGGTACGATGAAACAGCCCGTGGGTTGGCAGTTTGACACCCCTGATCTATACTAATCCCCCCTGCCTAGTGCCAAAGATCATCTAGACTAACCCCTTCTCTAATGCAAAAGATCATCTAGACTAACCACTTGCCAAGTGCAAAAGATCATTCTAGACTAATGCCCTATCTATTTCAAAAGAGCATATTTTTAATTAATTTATTGCAAAATCTAATTATTTTCCAAAAGAGGAAAGTGAGCCAGCAGCTGAGCGGGTTCGTGAATTATCCTAGTTAGGTCTTTTAGTCTTAATTTGGTAGCTTAGCCGCAAATTCTGCAAAGGTGTGGGAGCTTAAATAAAATTTTATTAATTGTTGAGATAGGTTGCTTTTTCCCCCAGCTGCTTTTTTTTGTGTTATTTATGGTTTGGGGTTGGTGTTTTGCTCCTGTTTTAATGTCCACATGGTCCTTGACTTACGGCCACAATTTCCGTTGCAAAGCAAGACACACGTGAAGTGAATTTTGCCCACGTTTTACCATGTTTCTTGCCGTGGACGTTAAGCGAATCGCCGCAGCAGTGAAGTTTGTCACATGGTTGTTAAGTGGCTTCCCTGTTGACTTGGCGTGTCAGAAGGTCGCAAAAGGGGATCCTGTGATCCCGTGACTGTCATAAACATGAACCGGGTGCCAAACAACCGAATTTTGATCACGTGACCATGGGGGGCATGCTGCAACGGTCGTTAAGTGTGAAAAATGGGCATCAATCCCTTTTTTCGGTGCCGTTGTGATTTGGAATGGCCACTAAACAAAGCACTGTAAGTCGAGGACTATCTGTATAGTTAGACACGCCTCCAGAGTCATGCATTTTGAGAAGGATGTCCATAGGAAATTAATACATAAATAAGAATAATTGGTGGCCTTATCAATACCTTGCAGCAATTGAATACGTACGCTCTCTGTTGCGTGAAAAAATGACAACTTTCTCCCATAAATTCACCACGGCCAAGAGTTCTACAGTGTGGGGAAAAATGCACGCACTTTCCCCCCCACAAACCTCATAATCTTTTGATACCCTTTGTCCCAATGAAGCAGCCAGAAGGTCATCCCCTTTTGACTGAATGCCTCACCTACCTAAACAGATACTATGCTTAAGTTCCTTCCTATCTCTTCCTGTCTTTGTCAGTTCTTTCTCCTTTTGATCTACCTGCATTTGTTCTTACCTGGTCTTTGACCATGTAATGTGTTACTAGAAAATAATTGCTTACATGAAGGAATTTTTCAATGAAGAAGCTTTATGTCAGCATCTAATGGTTAAACTTATGAATGTAAAATGTCAGCATTTAATGGTAAAGCCTATGTATGTAACAAGTATATAAGAAGCAATAAACTTGGAGTTTGTCAAGCTGTGTCCTGCAGCTTCCAACCTCTCTCAAGACATGCTTGTGTCTTTTTCTTAGCGTCTTACACTACAGAGCCACAAAACTCGCACGCGCGCGCTCACAAGGGCACGCAAATACACTTTATTTTAATAAATCTCTTTTTTCTTGTGTCGCTGGTGAAGAGAAGCCACATATCCTTAATTGCTGCACTGTATACTAAATTAGGGGAATTGAGGACAATTTGGAACATTGCAGGAGTGTAATGAATCAACAATCAGCATCTCAAGATCACACCACACACAATGTGCCGGTCACGCCGGCACAACCCGTGGAGAGAGAAGGTGGAAAATTGTTAGCAAATTGTGTGTGTTGTCACTAAAGCCATTCGGGGCGTCAGTTGTCACAACGGCACCGCGAAAACAAGCAAGAACAAGCCACGGGCGAAAAACGTGCGTGTAAACACAAGAAGCGCAAAGGAACAACTGTCAAACCCCGAACCTTTTAAATATCTTTTACGTATTTGCCTTGTAACCGTGTTCCTCCGAAGGAAGCATCGGTTTGAATGGCCAAAAAAACTCCCTCCGCAGCTCACAAGCATGTGCAGAGTGCAATTGCACCCTTGCTTCTTGTGTTCTTTGCTGTAGTAAATCAGGCTATCTCTGGACCGGCCACACCTGGGTGCGGATCCCATTTCCCCTCCCCCCCACACACAAACAAATGCACCCCAATCTAGCAGGTCTAAAGGAGAGAAAGGTGGAGCATCCACGTGCAAAGGCAATCTATCTGATAACCAAAGGGAGGGGGGGTATTTCTTTACTCCCAGAAGAAGAAAAAAAACGGAGTGTAAACGAAGAAGCCGAAGAATGAAGAAAAATTGCAGAAGTTCCTACGAAAAGGATGTCAACCGCCCCAAAGTGGGGAACACGACTTTAGAGTGCGTTGCAGCTGGTTAAAAAAAAAAAATTAAAAAATCACACAAGGTTGTTCCATTACATAACACAGTTATGCAACATCCCTCCATGTACCCCCCCCTCCCCACCCAGCTGGTTCGGCCAAAGGGATGAGATAGATAGTTCCTTCAGCTTTGCCACAGCCTCCAAGCCCTTATGAGGTACACTGCTCCTGAATCTGGAGGCTCTATTTGGCTGGGTCCAATTAATCTGGCTGGGTGGAGCCACCACCACCACCACCACCCCCACTCAGCTAGGCTGATCCTGAAGGAAAGACAGCCGCTTGGCTGCTAGGGTTTTTTCCCACAATCCCCCAAGAGTGGGGGGGGGGAGAAGGAACATGGGTAAGGGGATCCCCCGCTAGAAGCAGGACCCAGGATGATGGGAGAGAGATAAAGCCGGGCTTACAAAGCTCCGAATACGCTTCCAGGGACGCCCCAAGTCCTGAAGGTGCTGAAGGGACACGCCCGGGAGGAGGCAGGGAGGCAATGCGGGCCCCAGCTGGGAAGCATGGGGCTTGTGGTCCACCCAGCAGCAGGGAACCTGGGTAAAGCAGGCTGGGACGAGGCGCAGGGCCGGTCCGGGAGGAGGGAAGCCGAGCCCCCCCCCTGAGCGGCAACGCTTGCTCCCCGCACACCGGACCCCAAAGCGAGCAGCGGCTCGGTCGTGGGAAAGTGGCCAAACTCGGAAGTGGGGAGCCTCCAAAGTTGGGCTGGGCAGGGGTGGGGTGGGGGCCCTCAACCTACCCACTGGGTCCTCCCTGTGAGGAGGAGGAGGAGGAGAAGGGAGGCAGCCCCCCTCAGGGAAACCTCCCCAACTTCGGGACTACAAAGCCCATCTTCCCCGGCCCGAAATCTCCCCCGTGCATCCCCCCACCGCCTAAGGACCCCCTCCCCGCAGAGAAGCGACGGAGCCCTCTCAGGGAAACCTCCCTAATTTAGGGACTATAAAGCCCATCTCCCCCGGCCCGGTCTCCCCCGTGCACCCCCCTACCGCCTCCCTCCCCGCGGAGAAGGGACGGAGCCCCCTCAGGGAAACCTCCCCAATTCAGGGACTATAAAGCCCATCTCCCCAGCCCGAAGTCTCCCCCGTGCACCCTCCCCCCACCGCCTAAGGACCCCCTCCCTGCAGAGAAGGGAGAGAGCCCCTTCAGAGAAACCTCCCCAACTTCGGGACTACAAAGCCCATCTCCCCCGGCCCGAAGTCTCCCCCGTGCATCCCCCCACCGTCTAAGGACCCTCCTCCCCGCAGAGAAGGGACGGAGCCCCCTCAGAGAAACCTCCCCAAGTTAGGGACCACAAAGCCCATCTCCCCCGGCCCGAAGTCTCTCCCCCGTGCATCCCCCCCCACCGCCTAAGGACCCCCTCGCCGCATAGAAGGGACGGAGTCCCCTCACGGAAACCTCCCCAACTTCGGGATCACAAAGCCCATCTCCCCCGGCCCGAAGTCTCCCCCGTGCATCCCCCCACCGCCTAAGGACCCCCTCCCCGCAGAGAAGGGACGGAGCCCCCTGAGAGAAACCTGCCCAATTTAGGGACTACAAAGCCCATCTCCCCGGCCCGAAGTCTCCCCCGTGCATCCCCCCACCGCCTAAGGACCCCCTCCCCGCAGAGAAGGGACGGAGCCCCCTCAGGGAAACCTCCCCAACTTAGGGGCCACAAAGCCCATCTCCCCCGGCCCGAAGTCTCCCCCGTGCACCCCCCATCGCCTAAGGACCCCCTCCCCGCGGAGAAGGGACGGAGCCCCCTCAGGGAAACCTCCCCAACTTCGGGACCACAAAGCCCATCTCTCCCGGCCCGAAGTCTCCCCCGTGCACCCCCCCCCGCCACCTAAGGACCCCCTCAGGGAAACCTCCCCAACGTCGGGACCACAAAGCCCATCTCCCCCGGCCCTAAGTCCGAAGTCTCTCTCCGCCCTCCCGTGCATCCATCCTCCCCCCCCCTCCAGCCCAGGGATGCAGCGGGCGGAGAGCATCCCCGGACCGGGACACACCCAACGGGGCGCAGCGGCCCGGGAGGGGTTGCGGACCGCAGCCGCGGAGGGCCCGGAGGGCGCCCGGGGCTTACCTGGCCCGGGGAGGCAGGCAGGCGGGTGGAGGGTCGGGGCTGGTGGGCGCTGGAGACCCTCCCGCTCCGCTTCGTCCTCCGGCTCCTCCGCCCGTCGGGAGACCCCCCGCACGCCGCTCCGGCCCCGCGACCTCGCCGGCTGTCAGCTGAGAGCTTTCCGCGCGCCTCTCCGTCCGCTTCGCCGCCGCCGAGGCTCTGAGCCGCGGTCGGGTCCTCCCCCGCCCGCCCCGCCCCGCTCCGCGGCTCCTCCCCTCGGCAGACTCCGCAGTGCACGGGGCGGGAGGGAGGAGGGAGAGGGAGGGAGGGAGGGAGGGAGGAGAGCCCCCCCCCGCTCCTCCCCGCCCCGCTCCTTCACCCTCTCCTTCCTTCCTTCTTCCTTCCTCATCCTTTCCTCCCTCCCTCTCTCCCTTCCTTCCTTCCTTCTCTTTCTCCCTCTCTTTCCTCCCTCCTTCACCCTCTCCTTCATTCCTTCTTCCTTCCTCATCCTTCCCTCCCTCCCTCCTTCCTTCCTTCCTTCCTTCCCTTCCTTCCCTTTCTCCCTCCTTCACTCTCTCCTTCCTTCCTTCTTCCTTCCTCATCCTTTCCTCCCTCCCTTCCTCCCTCTTCCTTCCTTCCTTACCTTTCTCCCTCTTTCCTCCTTCCTTCACTCTCTCCATTCCTTCTTCTTTCCTCATCCTTTCCTCCCTCCCTTCCTCCCTCCTTCCTTCCTTCCCTTTCTCCCTCTCTTTCCTCCCTCCTTCACCCTCTCCTTCCTTCCTTCTTCCTTCCTCATCCTTTCCTCCCTCCCTCTCTCCCTTCCTTCCTTCCTTCCCTTTCTCCCTCTTTCTTTCCTCCTTCACTCTCTCCTTCCTTCCTTCTTCATCCTTTCCTCCCTCCCTTCCTCCTTCCTTCCTTCCTTCCTTCCTTTTCTCCCTCTCTTTCCTCCCTCCTTCACCCTCTCAATTCCTCCTTCCTTCCTTCCTTCCTTCCTTCCTTCCTTCCTTCCTCCTACCTTCCTTCCTTCCCTTCTTTCCTTCCCCTTCTCCCTCTCTTTCCTCCCTCCTTCACCCTCTCCTTCCTTCTTCCTTCCTCATCCTTTCCTCCCTCCCTCTCTCCCTTCCTTCCTTCCTTCCTTCCCTTTCTCCCTCTTTCTTTCCTCCTTCACTCTCCTTCCTTCCTTCTTCATCCTTTCCTCCCTCCCTTCCTCCTTCCTTCCTTCCTTCCTTCCTTCCTTCCTTCCTTCCCTTTCTCCCTCTCTTTCCTCCCTCCTTCACCCTCTCAATTCCTTCTTCCTTCCTTCCTTCCTTCCTTCCTTCCTTCCTCCCTTCCCCCTACCTTCCTTCCTTCCTTCCTTCCTTCCTTCCTTCCTTCCTTTCTCCCTCTCTTTCCTCCCTCCTTCACCCTCTCAATTCCTTCTTCCTTCCTTCCTTCCTTCCTTCCTCCCTTCCTCCTACCTTCCTTCCTTCCCTTCTTTCCTTCCCTTTCTCCCTCTCTTTCCTCCCTCCTTCACCCTCTCCTTCCTTCCTTCCTTCCTTCCTTCCTCCCTTCCTCCTCCCTCCTTCCTTCCCTTTCTCCCTCTCCTTCCTCCTTCATCCTCTCCTTCCTTCTTCCTTCCTCATCCTTTCCTCCCTCCTCTTCCTTCCCTTCCTTCCCTTTCTCCCTCTCCTTCCTCCTTCACCCTCTCCTTCCTTCCTTTTTGCTTCCTCATCCTTTCCTCCCTCCCTCCCTCCTCCCTCCCTCCCTCCACTCTCATTATCTTCCTTCCTTCCTTCCTTTTTTCCTTCTTCCTTCCCACCTTTCCTTCCTTCCTTTTTTCCTCCCTTCCTCCCTTTCCTTTTTCCTTCCCTCCCTCTCTCCTCTCTTTTCTTCCTTTCTTCCCTCCCTCCTTTCCTCTTCCTTCCTTTCCTTCCTCCCTCTCTCCGTTTCCTTTCTTTTTTCCTTCTTCCTTCCCTTCCTTTCCTCCCTCTCGCTCCCCCTTTTTCTTCCCTCCTTCCCCTCCTCTCCTCCCTCCCTCCCTCTTCCTTTCTTTCCTCCCTCTCTCCTTTTCCTTCCTTTTTTTCCTTCTTCCTTCCTTCCTTCCCTCCCTCCCGCTCCCTCCCTTTTTCTTCCCTCCTTCCCCGCTCTCTCCTCCCTCCCTCCCTCCCTCCCCTTCCCAGACCCCCAAAGCCCCACTTCTCCCAGAAGGGAAGACCAGCTGCTGGCCCTCTCTGTGGGCTTTCAGATTTGCCTGCTGATTGGAGCCGGCATCGGATTCACATTAGAGCAGTGGTTCTCAATCTTTTTAATGCCGCGACCCCCAACCGGTCGTAAGTCGAGGACTACTCAACCGGTCGTAAGTCGAGGACTACTCAACTGGTGCAACACCGTTTGCAGAATGGGACTTTTGGCGGGCTCGGCAGGGCAGAGACAGCCTGGACAATTCCTATTGGCTTTTGAAAGCCAATAGAATTAGACTCTATTCAAGAGAGTCCATTCTATTGGCTTTCCAAAGCCAATAGAATAAAAGGGAGGAGCACAGCTAAGGAAAAGGGGGGGGAAAAGGCGGACTGCGTTGTCTGGCGACCCCCGTGAAATGGTCGTTCGACCCCAAATGGGGTCCCGACCCACAGGTTGAGAACCACTGGGTTAGAGGAAGTATTGAAAAAGCCACAAGATGGGGGTTCGGCCCAGGGCCCGCACCCTGCAGGGCCACATTGGAACCCCAAAGCTTTGCCCCTGCCAAAAAATGTTTCGAAAGGGGCTTTAAACTCAGCTTGATGGATGCATTCCTCCTGTAAAAAAACAACAACAAAAAAACAGGGGCTACCACGCTCCTGATTTGGGGCCTCCGGAGCAGTGTTTCTCACCCTACAATTCCCAGAATTCCCCAGTCCCGGTTTAAAAGCCACCCAGATGAAAAATATCTGCATGAGATGATTGAATGGTCTTCAGCCACAATAGGATTGTGCAGAGCAATGCGGGGCCTATATTGTAATATGTTGATTGAGGGACTGACTTTCTTAATTCAGATTAAGCCTTCGTCTTAAATAAACGGATTGCAACTTCACAGCTGGGGGTCAGAGAGCACCCAGAGAGCACCCAGGACACTTCCTGTCAGCCCTGAACTACGAATCTTCTCTTCTGGGAGTTTGGTCCTTTGCAAAACTAAAGCAGGATAGGGAAATTGGCCCGGAGAAATTGCAACACTTCAGATATTCTGTCTGAAATGGTGTAGGGTCCCCTGCTCAAGTGGGAGGTTGGACTAGATGACCTACAAGGTCCCTTCCAACTTCTATTCTGTTCTGTTCCATTTCTTATTCTATTCTAGTCTAGTCTAGTCTAGTTTAGTCTATTCCTATTCTATTTCTATTTCTGTTAATTATAATTCTATTCTATTTCTATCCTATTCTATTCTATTTCTTTTCTAATTCTATTCTATTCTATTTCTAATTATTTTCTAATTCTATTCTATTTCTATTCTATTCTATTCTATTCTATTCTATTCTATTCTATTCTATTCCATTCCATTCCGTATTTTATTATTCTATTCTATTCCATTCCATTCCATATTTTATTATTCTCTTCTCTTCTCTTCTATTCCATTTCATTCATTCCGTATTTTATTATTCTATTCTATTCTATTCTATTCTATTCTATTCTATTCTATTCTATTCTATTCCATTCCATTCTGTATTTTATTATTCTATTCTATTCTGTTCTATTCTATTCTATTCTATTCTATTCTATTCTATTCTATTCTATTCCATTCCATTCCGTATTTTATTATTCTATTCTATTCTATTCTATTCTATTCTATTCTATTCTATTCTATTCTATTCTATTCTATTCTATTCCATTCCATTCCGTATTTTATTATTCTATTCTATTCCATTCCATTCCATTCCGTATTTTATTATTCTATTCTATTCTATTCTATTCTATTCTATTCTATTCTATTCTATTCTATTCTCATTTGCAGTTGGGCTCATGTTTTAAAGCTTCCCCTGGGACCAGCCAGATAATTTTAATATTGCGCCCTATTTCACAGATCATCCCAGCCCTATTAATCTCTCTTAAGCCCATTTATTCAAATGTCCCATTCATCCAAAGGGCGGCGAGCATCCCTTTTGCAGCCTCCTAAATCCCCAGAGCCACGATCTCCAGATCCCACAAAATTAGGGACCGACTCTCGTGGGAATTCTCTGCTGAAAAAAAAAAAAAAATGCAGCCCACAGCATGTGATTATGGCTGGAAGCGGCGAGTTTTTTTTCTGGTTATTTCTATTTTGGGAGAAGCCCAGATTCGCTCATTCTTAACATACTGCACATTCTGGGACTCATATTCGTAATTTGCTGAGGAATCCCGGGAATCATACAGGTAGTCCTCAACTTGAGACCATAATGGAGCCCGATGTTTCTACTCCTAAGTGAGACTTTTGTTAAGTGAGTTTTGCCCCAATTTGTGCTTAGTGAATCACTGCAGTTGTTAAGTTAGCAACACTGTCGTTAAGTGAACCCGGCTTCCCTCATTGACTTTGTTGGTCAGAAGGCCGCCAAAGGGGATCACGTGACCCCCGGACGACGCCACCGTCATAAATATGAGTCAGATGCCAAGCGTCCGAATTTGGATAGCGTGACCGTGGGGGTGCTGCCACGGTCCTAAGTATGGAAAAACAGTCATTAGTTACTTTTTTCAGGGCCGTTGTAATTTTGAATGGTCACTAAACAAACTGCTGTAAGTCAAGGACTACCTGTAATCCGAGTTTACTTAAGCATCATGGGAATCGTATTCCTAACCTACTGAGGGATTTCAGAATCGTATTCTAATTTACTGTGAGGGATCTGGGCATCCTATTCGTAACCTACTGTGAGGGATCTGGGAATCTTATCCTAATGTACTGTGAGGGATCTGGGCATCCTATTCCTAACCTATTGTGAGGGATCTGGGAATTGGATTCCTAACTTACTCTGAGGGATCTGGGCATCCTATTCCTAACCTACCCTGAGGGATCTGGGAATCCTATTCTTAATCTATTCTGAGAGATCTGGGAATCCTATTCCTAACCTACTGTGAGGGATCTGGGCATCCTATTCCTAATCTACTGTGAGGGATCTGGGAATCGGATTCCTAACCTACTGTGAGGGATCTGGGCATCCTATTCCTAACCTACTGTGAGGGATCTGGGCATCCTATTCCTAATCTACTGTGAGGGATCTGGGCATCTTATT